GACTGGTTTGCTTTTGCGTTGGTATTTTGATGTAGTTTTATCGATTTTCTTGTTTTTCTTAAGGAGGGTTTGGTTCGTATTTGATTGCTATGGATGAGAGGACATACAAGCTTATTGGGGTTGATTATCCGGGAAACAATCAAGAAGATGTTGTAAATCCTGGGTTGTGGTGGATGATTGGGTTTTTGTTTGTGGTTAGCTTCCTTGGTCTCTTTAGTCTCGTTCCGCTTCGTAAGGTAGTGGCTTAATAACAATCAAAACTGTTCTTAGAAGTTGTATGATCTCTTGATCTTTATTCAAGAATGTGTCTTTAGGTGATGGTTTTGGATTACAAGCTTACGTATCCGAGTGGAACCGCTACAGCAATGTTGATTAACAGTTTCCATGACAACTCTGGAGCTAAGCTTGCAGGGTAATAATTGTCAGAGTCAATCTCACTTCCTGCAAATTATAGCTTTGAGTTTTCGTTAAATGTTTATCTCTGATATTATTCACTTCAGACTTCAAGTTAAATGTCTTGGGAAATACTTGAGCCTTGGCTTAGTTTGGAGTTGCTTCAAGTGGTTCTTTAGTGGTGTTGGAGATGCATGTGGGTTTGATCACTTTCCCACACTTGGTTTGACGCTATACAAGAACACGTAAGTTCATTGTGTCTCTTTGTTACCAGTTGAGTAAAATGAAGTGGTTTAGCATGTGGATCGAATCGGTAACGAGTCATGATATTCTGTTGTGCAGGTTTTACTTTGATTTCAGTCCTACTTTTATTGGATGTGGTATGATATGTCCACATTTAGTGAACTGCTCGGTTCTTCTCGGCGCTATCATTTCTTGGGGTTTTCTCTGGCCATTTATATCACACCATGCTGGAGACTGGTATCCACCTGACCTTGGGGTCAACGATTTCAAAGGTCTCTACGGATATAAGGTACTATAAGCAGTTCAAGCAAGAAAATTCATGCAAGTTTTTATTTTCACATCCAAAGTGGGAACACAAATGAGTTTCATATAAACTCTCCATTGCCGAATTTATAGGTCTTTATCGCCATTGCCATCATCCTTGGTGATGGTCTCTATAACCTCACAAAGATTATTGTGATCACTGTGAAGGAACTTTACAATAAAACGTCCAAACAACAACACCTACCTGTCTTTAGCGGCATTTCAGGTGATGGAAATTTATGATCCTGACTCATCTTTTGCATTTAAGTAATAGTCAGCTTTGTTGATAATATTTTTCTCTTATGAGCACTTTTTCAATTATATTCTAAGCGTTTCTTTATGTGTTTGTTAATGTAGATGATAGTGAGACCTCACAATTAGAGCTGGAAAAGAAGTTAAGAGATGAAGTATTTCTCAATGATCCTATACCTCTCGGGTTTGCGGTTTCTGGTTATGTTGGTCTTGCAGCCATTTCAACCGCTACAATCCCGTTGATATTCCCACCACTGAAATGGTATTTTGTCCTCTGTTCATACTTGGTTGCCCCGGCTCTTGCCTATTGCAATTCATATGGAGCCGGGCTCACGGATATGAGCCTGCCTTCAACCTACGGAAAGATTGGTCTTTTCACCATCGCTTCGATTGTAGGAAATAACGGTGGAGTCATTGCCGGTTTAGGAGCATGTGGCGTTATGATGTCAATCGTCTCAACAGCAGCAGATCTTATGCAAGACTTCAAAACAGGGTACCTCACATTATCATCTGCAAAATCCATGTTTGTAACTCAGCTTTTGGGTACAGCAATGGGTTGTGTAATCGCTCCTCTCACGTTTTGGCTGTTTTGGACTGCTTTTGACGTTGGAGATCCTGATGGTCTGTACAAAGCACCTTACGCGGTTATTTACCGTGAAATGGCTATTCTCGGGATCGAAGGCTTTGTACAACTGCCTAAGCACTGTTTGGCTCTTTGTTGCGGATTCTTTATCGCTGCTCTGATTGTAAATCTTATCAAAGACATCACACCGCCTATGATCTCTAAGTTCATACCACTTCCAATGGCTATGGCTTGTCCATTCTACATAGGAGCCTACTTCGCCATCGATATGTTTGTTGGAACCGTGATTTTGTTCGTATGGGAACGGATAAGTAAGAAAGACGCAGATGATTACTCGGGTGCAGTAGCTTCAGGACTGATCTGTGGCGATGGAATCTGGACAATCCCGTCCGCGATTCTTTCAATCTTAAGAATCAATCCACCCATCTGTATGTACTTTGGACCTTCATAGACATTACCATGATGAATGTTTGGTCATACTATATAGCAAAAGTCTAAATGCAAACTCTTAGCTCAGTAACACTACATGACGCTAAACTACAGAACACAATAAGTACCAATAAAAATCTTCATGTATGTTTCCTAACAAAATTAACTTGTAATTCTGAATCATTTTTATAAATTATTATCATATTTGTATCACATATTTGATCCCAATATAGCTTCAATTGATAGTAGTTAGAGTTGATCAATGTTTGAAAATAC